GTTTCATCTTTATTGCATTTGCTTTATTACATATCAATTATTAATCATGACCCAGCATGGTACAGTTATGACATGTACCCTAAAGGCAAGTTCAGCAGGGCATTTACAGTCTACAATTAAAATGATGAAGCTTCTTGATCATCAAGAAGATGTTTTTTTACAATTTTCCCCACGAGTTAAGACAGATTTATTTTCCTGTTTTAAATTTTTTTTTTTTATAGATGACAGTGTGGTTCCCGCATTGCATTCTGGGTGTTAAAGTGGAGGAGGGTTAATCAGAAAACTATTTGCCATGCAGCCTGAAGCAGTGCTCCTTAAAGCAGCACAGATTATTACTCTGTTCATGCAATGGAGTATTATAATTGGAAAACCTGCTGACACAAATATGCCTGCTTTCAGTCAAACTCTTCTTTAATGCGCCTTAAAGCTCTCTTCAAAATTGAAAATATTCCCTGGTAGCATTTTACATGAATGCAAAGCCTGTACAAAATACTCAACGAGAGGCAAAAATAAAGACTTTTCTCAATTATCAACGCACACAGAATGCTCCTCGGTGCAGAAATAACTCATCACTATTCTGGTGTGCTGTCACTCATCAGAGAATATGTAAATAATCCCATTCAAAGTGTTATCTCAGGTGCTGATTTATTATGCATCAGTGAACCATTTAGCACTCCTTCCCTGCTTTTACAGCCATTAAAAAAATCATAAAGTGCAAACACGAATACACCTTAATGTCTGTCGTGATGTTCCCCGCTAACCATAAAGAGCTTTCTGAATCCAGTGAAAGTACATTATGAGGCTAATTCTGCAGCCTAACAGGGTTTCTTATCCATAAAGATGAACTTTAGAGATGGAGATGGATGTTTTCGTGAATTAAATGACATCCTATCTGTCTAAGACTGTCAACATCTTAGTTTTCTCTAGTTAGAGTTTCCTTTTAGAATATATTTCTTAAGCAGAATGACAGCTGGTGGCTGATGAGAGGAACCTTTCAACAATGTGTTATTAAGGCATCAAAATAGCTGCCTTTTTAGAGATGTTATTAATCATAATCAGGAAGCTAATTTGGTCAGTTAGTGTGTATCTACGGTGGCTGACGGGCAAACGCCCTACAACGGCTCAATTTTTTTCATTTTTTCATTTAGCCTTTATTTATACAGGTGTAAAATTTCATTGAGACACAAGGTCTCATTTTCAAGAGAGACCTGTCAGTGGTAACACTACCACACAAAGTTACAGACAGACAGGACACTAAACACAGAGGCAACACTAAAATATTACAATACACTTGCATGAGGAGAACCATGCTGCATTTCAATGTTTGGATTGGTTAGCTAGCTAGCTTACAGCAGATCTGCAATAATATCTTAGGAAATCATGCGATAACATTGTTTAAATAAACCAGTTTTAAGTTTCCAGTGTAAACTTTGTAATCCCTGAATGTCAAATAGCGCTACGGTCCCAGCAGTATGCATAATTTTTGTTTGTCCCTTTTGCCGTTGTGTTGCGAGCTTCTTACTGCGTTTGTTTTATTTGCAGTGCTTCGTATTTCCAGTGTTTTGTTATTGCAGCACTTTTAGTTAACACTGCGCATGTGTTGTCTAGTTGGTGAAAATGTTTCTTTATTTGCATGTGTTTTATCACATTTGCATTGTTTTTGAGAGTACAGCCCGTTTCTCTTAATATAAGTATTTAGGGTGGCTTTAGTTCTTCTGCCCGTGTCAGCCACCGTCAGTTTCTGTCTCTATGAACACACGGGAGAGTGCTCTGATATTTTCTGTCATATTAAGAATGACATTTATCATGGCAGTGTTTGTTAACATGATTAACCGATGACTTACAGGATATACAGATGATGATGAGAGGGGAAGTAGCTGGTGTATATTTTAGGGATTGATGATGGGGGAAGTTTTTGTAGAACGGAACACAATCGAGTTATCGCAAAGGGTTGGGAAACCACACAACTTGTACACCATCATTTACTCAATATTTAAACCAGCACCATTCAGTAATCTTGCAACCTTGGTGCTATCTAGGAAAGTAGCATCATTAACAGAGAGCTTTGCAGAATGCACAAAGGAAGTAAACAATAGCAGCACGATGGCGAATTCCCCTTAATTCAGTTACATGACATGTGCCGTGCCCTAAAGGCTAGGCCAAGCGGACTCTTGTCAAATTATAAAAGGTCCTTGATCATTGCCACAGTTTGAGCTATAGGTCAAGAATATCTTTTGGGTTCAGCTGGATTTGAACATTTCGGGTTCCAACATTTTTGGTAAAAATGCCCAAAATATGGTTCCAGGCTGTTGAAAAAGAGATATCTGAGGATAACATACAAAGTGCAAGAATCCCTGGCCTGCAAGCATCACAGGAGTTGGATTGGAGAGGGTGTCAGCCTTAAGTCTTTCTGAAAACAGATCACAGAGGACCTCTGATGTGCAATCAGCTCCTGTGCTTGAAAAGCAAAAGGCTCTACAGTGCCATTACTTCCTAATGACACTTGTCAGTGAAGCTGCCGGTGCCCTGCTAGCACTCCTCTACCCAGAATGTACTAACATACTGTATTTGAGTATGGTATGCCAACTGTTCAGCAACAGATGGAAAAGAGCTCTCCAGAGATTCATAAACACAGCCCAGAAAAATAATTGGACTTCGCCTGCCCTCACTGGAAGACATCTTCCGAGCCAGCAGCCTTCTGAAGGATGCAGCTCACCCTCCATCTTCATCTCTGCTCTGCTGCCATCTGGAAGCGCTACAGGGCGTTAAAGAACCGCGGTCGCAGGCGCAGAAGACTGCTCCTACCCTGAGCCCTCGAAGAACTGAACTCTAAGAAACAACATTTTCGTTCTACAATTTGCAATGAAAATAGAGAAATTCTGTTCTTCCAAATTGCAATAATATTAATATGTATATGTAAATTGGATTTGAAATCCGAAGACTAGGCATAAGGTTCTTCTCAATGACATTAAATAACATGTATTATTGTGTCTGAGGGTTTGGTTTTGGTCAGATTTGACTGATAAGCTAACCATGCATCAACTGTCACATCTTGATTGGTGCAATGAGCCCCGCCCACTTTTAGACCAGTGACACAATGAGAAACAAGAAAAAACCCAATATTTATCATGTGAAATAACCACAGCCCTTACTATTTTGGCAGAAATAGGACCATTATGCTTTCGATAACAAACTGATGGAGAAAATGATGTTGCCTGACGACACTGTGCTGTTCGCTGCGATGAAGTACCTATCTCAATTACTTCTTAGTGTCTTCGCGTTGATTCTCACCGAATTGAAATAAATGAAAGCCAGCGACTGCAGGGTAAAACCCATTTATCAATCTAAAAAGCTTAGAAAGGACAAATGAAACCCAGAAATCTTTGCACCTGTGAAACTCTTATTGATGGAATAGTCTTGATGAATAATCCCATCAAATCACAGATCTAATGAGGTTATGGAACCAGGGCAGAGGGAAAGGCTCAGATTCCCTGTTCGCCCTTTGGATTTCTGCACAGAGAGAAGTACACAGTAGTTCCAGCAAACATCCACTGATAAATTGCGATGTTAACAACCTCATGATAACTTCATAACTTAGGATCATACCTGTGGTTAGTCTAGAAAAATTATTAATTTAATTTTTGTCAAAGAGATGCTGATTTGAAACCATTGTTACATACAGTCACGGCATTTCCTGTTTCTGCCGGAGAGAGGGGAGTTTGTCCCAAAGCCTGCCGCTGTATTTACTCCCTCCATCTGAGAGGAGGGAGCCTCATTGAGCTGCGAGTGTCACTCCACGGAGTTCACTCCACCACGGAGGGTAGTGTGTAGGGGTAGGGCGTGGTTTGGGATTGGGCCTAAGACTCAATGGTTTTCTTCTATGTCTCATCTTCATCATCTTCTTCCTGCTTCCTGTGACATTGTAGGTGTGGGCCAGCAACTTCCTGCCTAATGAGCCGGCTCTGTCAGACCGCTGTCAGAGAGCCTACTATCAGAAACATGGAGAACCGCTGCTGCTTCAATACGCCAGACAAGAAGCTGAGAAAAAGGTACGGCTATGCACTTATGAACACGAGGTCGAATAAGTTTCATTTTCCCTCGAGAAACTTGTAATTTATTACTTCTTAGTTTAACTTAGTTCTACCTAAGTTTGGGTTGTTGTACATTTTCCAGAATAACTTTCACACAGGTCCTTGGAAACGTTGAGAATTTGTGCATTTAAGGATATTATTTTGTTCTAGAATAGACATGTTGTACCTGTCATTTAACGTTATAACAGTGGATTTTCCTTGAATTTTGTATTACCAGAAAACAGAGAAGTAGAAGTGTGAAGTAAGCATTTTATTTTTAGTGTCGAGGATTTCCAGCTTAAAAATGCTTTTTGATTTCATTTTCTTAAATCAAGAGTATGTAGCTTCCATTACAGTATTTGTTTGTTCAAATGAATGCAAAAGCAATGTTTAACCCTTGTTACTGTTACAAGGTATCTATCTTGTATTTTGTAGATTGTGTAACTTGTTAAATACCGTCAAACTATGTGCAATATGTGCTTTATGTGCGGTAAATGTGTGCATTTTATTATAAAGTTGTGTATATTTACAGACTGTTGCAAAAACTAAGAAGCTTATAAACATCAGGTTTAAAACACAATTAAAGATGTTTGGAGTTTTATTTGAGTTATTAATTTAAAATTTTTGTCAAAGAGATGCTGATTTGAAACCATTGTTACATACAGTCACGGCATTTCCTGTTT